CCGTGATATTATTTTACACACCCATAATAATACATTAACCAGGGTACCAGACACACACAAATTTTACGACGCTCTGCAATATCCGCTAATATTCAGCAAGGGTCAGGAGGGCTATTACTTTCAAATACCTCAACTTAGTCCTGTGACTGGCTTGCCCTTACCCAACAAAAAAATATCTTGCATGGATTTTTATGCTTATCGTATAATGATTCGAGAAAATGATTTCAATTTAGTATCACGATGCAGACAACTGGCTAACCAGTTTTATGTAGATATGTACGTAAAAGTTGAAAGCGAACGATTACGTTATATATCATTAAATCAAAGTAAATTAAGAGCGGAGAACTACATTCATCTTCAAGATGCTGTAGCAAATGATGATAATGTTAATCCTAATAATTTAGGTAAAATGGTTATTTTACCGTCTTCGTTTGTAAATAGCCCCAGATATTTGCATGAATACACTCAAGACGCCTTTGCTTATGTACGTACATATGGTCGCCCTGATTTATTTATCACTTTCACATGTAACCCAAGTTGGGCTGAAATAGTTGATGAGTTGCTACTGGGACAAAGGGCAGTGGATAGACACGATATAGTTGCGAGAGTTTTTAGATTGAAAGTTAAAAAGTTAATTACTCTTATTAACAAAGGAAAAATATTCAAAGAAGTATTGTGTTTTATGTATCCAGTAGAATGGCAAAAGCGCGGCCTACCACACGTGCATATTTTAGTGTGGTTAAAAGAAAAGTTGAGGCCTGATCAAATAGATAAAATCATCAGCGCTGAAATTCCGGATCCAAATGATGACATGTCACTGCATGCAATAATTATTAAAAATATGATTCATGGTCCATGCGGCCCTGAAAATTCTCAATGCCCTTGCATGAAGGATGGCAAATGCACTAAAAAATATCCTCGCAAGCTTATTAAAGAGACTGTCCACAGTGATAACGGATATCCGCTGTATCGGAGAAGATCACCAGCAGACGGAGGTCGAACATCATCTGTAAAACTCCGAAATGGTAGTTACGTGACTGTAGATAATAGTTGGGTTGTTCCTTATTCGCCTATTTTGTCCAAAATATTTAACGCCCACATAAATGTTGAGGCTTGCAGTTCAGTGCGCGCTATTAAATATATTTGCAAGTATATTAATAAAGGTAGCGACCAAGCTATTTTCAATTTCAGAAACACAGAAGCCGCTAATGCCATAGATGAAGTACGTACATATCAATCTGGTCGCTATGTCAGTAGCAACGAAGCTGTGTGGCGGCTCTTGGGATTTCCATTACACGAGAGGCATCCAACCGTCACACACCTCAATGTGCACCTTGAAAATGGTGAACGTGTCTACTTTAATGAAAATAACTTTCGAGAAAGATTATCGACTCCTCCAAAAACGACACTTACTGCTTTTTTTGACCTCTGTACCAAAGATGAATTTGCACGAACTCTTCTCTATGTTGATGTACCGAGATATTACACTTGGAACACGACAAGGAGAGAATGGAAACGGCGAATACAAGGAGTACCTGTTCAGAACTGGCCTGGTGTCAAATCCGGAGATGCTTTAGGACGAGTATACACGGTCCATGTTAGTAATATGGAATGTTTTTGTTTAAGAATGCTTTTACACCATGTGCGTGGGCCAACCTCTTTCAATGATCTTAAAAAGATCACTAATCAAGAATTTTCGTCTTATCGAGAGGCATGTGAAGCAAGAGGTTTATTAGAAAACGATAATCAGTGGGATATAACTCTGGAAGAGGCCGCACAATGCAAATCTGCGCCCAAGGTGAGAGAGCTTTTCGCCATATTAATAGCGGCATGTGGACTTTCAAATCCACAAGAATTGTGGGAAAAGTATAAAAATTATATGGCGGATGATATTTTACACAGATTGCAAGAACAGAATCCGAATGCTTCATACAGTGATTTAATTTACAATGAAGCGTTAACAAAAGTTGAAGATCAAGTGACTACTATTTCTGGAAAAAAATTATCTGAATTTGGAATGAGCAGACCACAAAGAATTGAAGAAGTTAGTAGTGATTTAATTAGGGAACTAGATTATAATTCTGTTTCTTTAATGCAACAAATAGCAGAAGCTCTTCCACTTTTAAATTCAGAGCAAAAAACAATTTTTGACACTATAATTCAAAAAGTTAACAGTAGCCAAGGATGTTTGTTCTTTTTAGATGCTCAAGGAGGTACTGGCAAAACCTATCTTTTAAATTTATTATTAGCCCAAATCCGAAAAGAAAAAGGTGTTGCGGTTGCAGTAGCTTCCTCTGGAATAGCAGCTACGCTACTGAGTGGGGGACGAACAGCGCACTCAGTTCTAAAACTACCACTGAACTTAGCTAATGAGGAAATCCCAGTATGTAATATTAGCAAAAGTAGTGAACGCGGAAGAATGTTACATCAGTGTAAGCTGTTGGTTTGGGATGAATGTACGATGTCCCACAAAAGAGCAATCGAAGCACTGGATCGCACAATGAAGGATATTAAAGGTAACCAAGATATCATGGGAGGGATTGTGGTACTTTTAGCTGGTGACTTTAGACAGACTCTTCCGGTTATTACTAGGGGTACGCCAGCAGATGAAATAAATGCCTGTTTGAAAGCATCTGCATTATGGGCATATGTAAAAAAACTTTATCTCACTACAAATATGCGAGTACAACTTCACAATGATTCTGAAGCAGGTCAATATGCAGCTGCTCTTCTAAAAATTGGAGAAGATTGTATGCCAACTGACAGCAACGGTATGATTACACTGAGCCGTGAATTCTGTCAAATTGTTGAGAGCACAGAGGACCTAAAAAATCATGTATATCGTGATCTTCAAATAAATATGGCCAATCGAGAATGGCTGTGTGAAAGGGCAATTTTGGCGCCGACTAATGAAATAGTTAATAAAATAAATGAACAAATTATGTCAGACGTGGAGGGTGATGTTGTCGAATACCTCTCAGTAGACAATGTTACTGAACACTGGAGACGGGACACTGAACAAGTCACATCATACCCTATAGAGTTTCTCAACTCCTTAGAATTATCAGGAGTGCCTTCCCATAAATTGAGGCTGAAAGTTGGTGTTCCAGTTCTTTTAATGCGTAATCTGGATGCGCCAAGGCTGTGTAATGGTACGCGGCTTCAAATTACACATTTAGGACACAATATTGTAAAAGCCTCAATCATGTCTGGAATGGCAAAAGGAGAAAATATTTTGATTCCCCGTATTCCAATAATTCCGACTGATTTGCCATTTAATTTTAAAAGAGTACAGTTTCCCCTTAAACCAGCATTTGCTATAACTATTAATAAATTACAAGGACAGACGCTTAAAGTTGCAGGTGTACATTTAGAAAAGAAGTGTTTTTCCCATGGGCAACTCTATGTGGCATGCTCACGTGTGTCAAAACCGGAATGTCTTTATGTTTTGGCAAAAGATAGAAAAACTCAAAACGTAGTTTATAAAAATGTATTAATTAAATGAATGATTGGAATACGGGGAATCAAATTATTTAGAAAAGAAAGAAAGATTTAACCTTCACCTAACTGAAATTGGGTCAAAATTGAACAAATATTTAGTTCTTTCTTTATAACTTTCATTTTTTTTCCTTCAAAGAATTATCCTAAAATGTTAAAACATCGTTACTAATATTATAAATGTGAAAGTAACTCTGTCTGTCTGTCTGTCTCGCTTTCACGCCAAAACTACTGAACCGATTTAAATGAAATTGTGTACACAGATAGTCTAGACCCACAGAAAGGACAAAGGCTACTTTTTAATGCGAAAAAAGGGTTGTAAGGGGTTGAAATTGGGGATGAAAGATTGTATGGAAGAATCGTCATTTCTTAAGCTAGAAGATTGAAACTTATTTTTGAGGCTGCTAATTAAATATAAATAAATATGACATTCAAAGTTTGTACAAAAATACCCTTAAGGGGGTAAAATAAATTAGGGGATGAAAGATATTAGGTAATATCGTCATTCTTGAAGCCAGATCCTTTAAACTTTTTTCATTGGCTTTTTGAGTTAGTTAATTAAATACCTTACTAACATTATATTTGTAAAAGTTATTCTGTCTGTCTGCCAGTCTCACTTACACGCCAAAACTACTGAACAGATTTATGTGAAATTTGGTACACAATTAGTCTAGATCTTGAGAAAGTACATAGGATACTTTTGGATGCGAAAAAATGGTTGTAAGGTGGTTGAAATGGTAGGTGCAAGGTTGTACGTAAGAATCATCATTTTTAAAGGTGGAAGCTTGAAACTTATATTTTAGGCTGGTAACTGAATGTGAATAAATATGATATTCAAATATTTTTACCATTAAGGGGGTAATATAAATTAGGGGATGAATGATTTTAGGATAGCCAGATCTATGAAACTTTTTCTATTGGCTTTTTTGGGTTAGTTTATAAAATACCCCACTAATACTCTAACTGTGAAAATAACTTTATCTGTCTGTCTGTCAGTCTCACTTACACGCTAAAACTACTGAACCGATTTCAATGAAATTTGCTACACAGTTAGTCTAGACCCTGAGAAAGGACATAGACTACTTTTGAATGCGATAGAAGGGTTGTAAGGGCTTGAAAGAGTTATGTATGGAAGTGTCGTCATTTTTGAAGATGAAACGATGAAAATTTTTCATTGGCTTTTATTGGGTTAGGTAATTAAATATTTTTTTCATTATTTGGTCAAGGTCACTATTTTCGCGGACGAAGTCGCGGGTACAGCTAGTAAATATATATTTTTTTAAAGTTCTTCTCGGTTATGATATAGTTTATGAGAGATTCAAATAATCTTCATCGCGTCGTTTCACAGCGTTGCAATTGCAAGTTAAGGAAGCCAATATTCTTGTTTAATGTATAGGTAATATAGTATGTCCTAGGAATACCTGGAATAGGTAAGACTGACGTACCCCACACATATGACTTTTTACAAATTATTAAGATTACTGATAATAATAACAACTCACAGCATGTGTTTCTTCATATCCGTATTGGGTCCTAATTCCTTCTTACAGATAGGGCACGTCTTGCGAGTCTTGTGGTTATTCCGTCGATGTAACTGATACAGTTTCTTCGTTCTGTTGACAATATACACGATTGTTTGACTATCTTAGTTTTTTCCTTGTATGAATAATAATAATAAGAAGCCATGCAAAATAGAGCCTTTTTTGGGTAGTAGACAATTGTTAGAAACACTCATATATTTATTTTATAGTGTTAAAAACCCTTACACCAACGAAGCCGTCTTTCATATTCAGAAAAATATGAAATGGCGCACAAGTCTGTCCTAACGGTATACGTTGGCGGGGCACTAGTGGAGGATCATAGGATGAGCATGAAGCTGACTCGACGACGTGTTTTCGCCAGGGATTGGTGATGGACCCACTGATGTAGATCACGAATTTACTAAATGCTGAGAAAAACTTTTAATTTCATACACGGTCGCGAGTTCGAGATGGAAAGTATTCGAGTAACAATAGAACAGAGGTATGTACTGACTGGAACCGGCTCTGGCACACGTTGCCGTCAATAACCGCATTTTATAAGTAGCTAACCATAAATCTGGTTAACGAGTTTTTTACAAGTACTGACTGGAACTGGCGCTGGCACACTTGGCAGGCGTGTCCGTGCTGGCTGTGGTCGTCGCGGTGGTGCCGCACCACCAGCTCCTCGCTGTGGAACTCCACCTCGCACACGACACACCGGTAGCTCCTGTTAGATACAAACTAACTTAGTTGGATCACTACAAAAAATAACATTAATTTAGTCCCCAAATATGGACCATAGTACTTCTTCAGTTAAGTTAGTTTTACTGTAAATATATACTACAAATTGTTGAAGCTAGGTACGCTTTATAATTACAAAGTTAGTTTTAAGTAACCCCTCCTAGGAGGCTGTTAACCCAGTTTCCTGGGGGTTGATGCCAGGCCAAAGGGATTCGCCCTGAGGCTCTTAGAGATTAATAAGATGGTGTTTCTGCGAATGTCCGATTGTGGCGTAAAAACAGTAATCAATAAAAATCATTAAAAAGGCGTGTTATTTTTATTCAACGTGTAATCAGAAGGCCTGGTACACATTAAATGGCGACGAGGATCAAAAATATTTAAAGGAATTCGCATTTTAAATAAGGTAAAAAGTAATCGGCATGGCGTCGAACATTTTATTCAAATCATTTCAAGAAGGAGATGATATTAACTGCTTCTTGGAAAGAATGGAGCAACACTTCACGGCAAACGACATTGACAAGGTAAAACAATTACCTACATTACTTATATCGTTACATCAAGATGTATATAAAATTTTGAAAAGCATGGTGCATCCATCTTTGCCAAAGGAAAAAAGTTATAAAGAAATCGAGGAAGCGTTAAAGTTAAGATTCCAACCAAGAGTGTCACATTTTCGAAAAAGAATACGATTCTACAGCTTACGGCAAGCGGAAGGAGAATCAGCATCAAAATGGTTTACAAGAGTAAAGGAAGCTGCAACGGAATGCAACTTTGAAAAGAATATTGAAGGATATTGTAAAGGATAAATTCGTTACGGGGCTGAGACCAGGACCCATACAAGACAGATTATGTGAGGAGACAATAACAAGAAATATCAAGGAATTATTGGATATAGCCTTAAACAAAGAGTCAGCTTATCAAGAAAATAAGGAGTTGGTAATTGTTAATAAAATTTCTAGTAAATCCAATAATAAACAATATTGTTCACAGGTCAAAATATATAATAAACAAAAGAGCGACAGGAAAGCTCAGGATATTTTAAAATGTATACATTGTGGAAAACCTAACCATTCATTTGCTAAATGTAAGTACAAAACCTATAAATGTAAAATTTGTAATAAAATTGGGCATCTAGCTATAGTATGTAAAAATAAGCCCACAAATAGTATAGACATTAGGGAAGAACAAGTAGATATGTTTATAATGGCACCAATAACAGATGTTAATCATATTTCTCCATTTATGGTAAAGTGTTATGTAAATTCAATCCCTTTAAACATGGAATTGGATACAGGTGCAGCCGTTTCCTGTATACCAAAAAGAATTTATAGTGAGAAATTTAGTAATGTTAAATTAGAAGGAACTCCATTAGTATTGAAAACATATAGTGGTGAAATAGTAAAAAGCCTGTTGGTAAAATTTCAGTTGCATTGCATGTCAATGAAAGAAAATGTAATTGTTCTTTGTTAGTGGTAGAAAATGGGTGTAGAAATCTTTTTGGTCGGGATTTAATGAATATATTAAACATAAATTTGAAAGAGTTAACAGATTTGAATTCAATAGATGCACTAAATTTAGAAAATATTTTGCAGGAATATTCAGATGTTTTTAAAAATGAGCTGGGTGTTATTAAAGGTGAAAAGATTCATTTAGAATTAAAAGAGAATACAGAACCTATTTTTATGAAGCCTAGACCCATTCCTTTTTCTTTTAAAGATAAAGTAGAGCATGAGTTAACAAAGTTAGAGAACGAAGGAGTTATTACCAAGGTGGATAATTCAGATTGAGGAACATCTTTAGTACCGGTTATTAAGGAGAATGGTCAATTAAGATTATGTGCTAATTATAAAGTGACTGTTAACAAATATTTAAAAGATGTAAATCACCCAATACCTAGAATTGAAGAAATATTTACAGCTCTGCAGGGAGGTCAGAATTATAGTAGATTAGATCTTCGAAATGCTTTTAATCATTTAATATTAGATGAAGCTACAGGAAAACTGTTAACTTGGTCGTTGGTGTTACATCAAAAGGTATTTACAAATTAAATAGATTACCGTATGGTACTAAGCCAGCTAGTTCTATATTTCAATCAAAACTTGAAAAAATTTTGCTCGGAGCTAAAGGGGTAGTCAATTTTATTGATGATGTAGTGGTTACGGGTGTCAATGACCTTGAGCATCTTCAGAATTTAAGAGAGGTTTTAAAACGTTTTAAGGATGCAGGCATAAGGCTTAACAAAAACAAATGTATATTTTTTCAAAAGGAGATAAGGTATTTAGGCCATATTATTTCGGGAGAAGGGTTAAAAAAAGATATTTCACATTTAGATAGTATAATTAAAGCACCCCCACCCCAAAATATTTCAGAAGTAAGATCTTGGATAGGCATGGTTAATTATTATGCTAAATTTATACCAATGTTATCTACAAAATTAAAACCTATTTATGAACTATTGCAAAAGGGTTCAACATTTAATTGGTCAAGAGAGTGCCAAGCAAGTTTTAAATTAATAAAAAAGGAGATCATTTCTGATAAAATATTAATTCATTATGATAGGAATAAGCCCTTAAGATTAGCATGTGACGCATCAAATAATGGTATAGGTGCGGTATTAAGTCACATTATGTCAGATGGTTCAGAGAGACCTATTACTTTTATATCTAGAGTATATACAAAAGCAGAGAGAGGATACTCAATGATACATAAAGAAGCATTAGCTTTATAGAGGGCAGTCAGTAAGTTGTATCAGTATTTGATAGGAACTAAGTTTGAGTTATTGTCAGACCATAAGCCTTTAAAAGCTTTATTTGGTGAGCACAAAAGTTTGCCACAAATGGCAGCAGGTAGATTACAAAGGTGGTCATTATTTTTGTCTGGGTTTGATTATACATTAAATCACATTAAAGGTACAGAAAATGTAAATGCAGACTGTATGTCTAGATTACCATTACCTGTCACAGATAACATGTATTATAAAGAATATGATTATATTAATTTTGTAGAAGATCAAAATGTAATTGATGTTAATAGAATAAGATCTGAAACGCGAAGGGATCCTATTCTTAGTTCGGTATTTAATATGATAAGATATGGTTTTTCAAATAATGTAAGTGATGTTTTCAAGCCATTTTTACAGAGGAAAGACGAGTTATATATTGATAAAGGAGTAATCATGTGGGGTTATAGAGTTATAATTCCAAAAAAATTACAGAATTTGTTATTAAAAGAGTTACATTCGACACATGAAGGTATTGTAAGGATGAAATCTAATGCTAGGTCATATTTTTGGTGGCCAAAAGTGGACCAGATGATTGAAAGTTATGTAAAAAATTGTAACATATGTATGTCTATGCGTCCAGAACCACCAAAATCTAATATTATTTCATGGCCAAAAACAAATAGTCCATATGAGAGAGTACATGCAGACTTTTTAGGTCCATTTAAAGGTAGAAACATTTTACTAATTGTTGATACATATTCAAAGTGGCCAGAGGCATTTATTATGGAAAATACTGATTCTAAATATACAATAGAAAAGTTTAGAGAATGTTTTGCACGGTACGGTTTACCAAAAATTTTAGTTACTGTTAATGCAAGTGTATTTGTATCAAGAGATTTTTCTGAATTTTTATACAAGAATGGTATTAAACATGAAACGTCACCACCATTCCATCCAGCAACCAACGGTTTTGCTGAGAATTCTGTAAAAAGTTTTAAATATGGAATGTTAAAAGCATTAAAAGATGATTTAAATTGTAATCATTCTTTTCAAACATTAATGTACAGGTACTTATTTCATTATAGAAATTCTATTCATAGTGTTACAGGAGTTTGTCCTTCTCAATTGATGTGTCAAAGGAAACATAGAACTAGACTAGATTTATTATCCATAAAGGAAGAAAAAGGGGAGAGAATTAAAAGAGGGAGTAGACAGGATACATTTAAGGAAGGAGATTGGGTATATTGTAGGGATTATAGAAACCCAAATAAAAAGGTTTTTGTAAAATGTATTATTGATGAGGTCTTGGGACAGAGAACTTATTTATGTAAAGTAGTAAATGAGAATTTAATATGGAAAAGACATTTAGATCAAATAATAAGCTCTCCATCCCAAACTAATCAAGATTTTAGTATTGAAAAAGTAAATTCAGAAGATGTAACTTTGAAAGAAGTATGTTCTGAAGTTGTAGTTCCTAAGAGTATATTTGATGAAAACATTTGTAAAAGAGATTGTAGTAATAATAATAATTTAAATAGATCTTTAGAAACTATTGTAACTTCTCAAGTAGGAGATTCTGAGGGAAATAATATTTGTAGCAATGTTTCAAAAGATGATAATTCTATAGTAGGGTCTAATTGTAATTCTGAAATTGTTGGTTTAAGGCGCTCACAAAGAGAAAGAAAACCTATTGTAAAACTCAATTTATAGGGGGAGTATTTGTGATGTATTTACACCCGCGTGTCAATGTCAAGTTTGACACATTGATCTGTAATTGTCAGTTGTCAAAATAGAGTAGGATTTTTGCATTATATAGAGATTAATAAGATGGTGTTTCTGCGAATGTCCGATTGTGACGTAAAAACAGTAATCAATAAAAATCATTAAAAAGGCGTGTTATTTTTATTCAACGTGTAATCAGAAGGCCTGGTACACATTAGTAGTGAAAATCGAATTACTGTAAACTGGGGAGTGTTTAGTCAAGCGTTAGAATACAAGCTTCTGCATCGATTAAAGCGGAATCAAGATATGGAATTTTGATGAAACTAACTTATCCGATGACCCTGGTAAAAAAAAAGTAATAACGAAGCGAGGCGCAAAATACCCCGAACTTATAAGTAATACCTCCAAAAGCTCAACTTCTGTCATGTTTTGTGGTAGTGCTAAGGGAGAATTATTACCGCCGTATGTCGTATATAAATCCAAGCAACTATGGAGTACATGGACGGAACAAGGACCAAAAGATGCCAGATATAATAATAGCC